GCCCAGGGCTTCCTCAGAGGCCACTCGGGAAGCCACCTGGGGCTAAAGGCAGGCACCTCGGCCACACGCTGTATGTGGCTTCCCCTGTGGCTTTGCGCTGACCCCCCAGGCTCTCAGCACCGTCAGCCTGTGGCAGGAGGGAGGCTGGCCACGTGTCCAGTCACGAAGAGTGAGACTTCCAGGGCAGTCCCATGGCTGCACCCACCCAACCAGAGCAGGAGACGTGGCCTGGCTGGGTGGCCGCACTCAGCCCCAGGACCATGCGCGAAGGGGAGACGACGTGGGAGTGCCGGGAGCTGGTCCATGCTTGCTGTTTCAAGGGACCTGGCATATATGGCATACTGTTCTTAATAAGTTTGCTCACCTTCTTGGCACTATGTGTTTTAACCAAGGTCACCTCTCAAAGGTTGTTTCCCCAGGTAGGGATTTTCCCCTGAAGTTAGGGAGGGAATAAAACCCCTTAACTAAGTGCCAGGCGGGTAATTAATCACTTTAACTACGAACAATCATGCTTAAGCTACATAATCTTTACTCCCTGGAATGGAGATAAGAAACGCCCTAACCTTTGGAATAGAGATTGATAGGATTGAATCAACTGGTATAAATACAGATGTAACAAGACAACAGAACCTAGACACAGAACCTACATAGAACCTAGAGACAGAAGAACTTCGCTGGAGAGAACATGGCAAAAGATCCTGGACAGAAACTGAAGACAGAACCTAGAGACAGAACCTAGTGAGAGAACATGGCAAAGATCCTGGACAGAAACTGGAGACAGAACCTAGAGACAGAACCTAGCGAGAGAACCTTGCTGAAGAACCTAGAGACTGAACCTGACTACAGAAATTGGCAAGAGAACCTGACTAGAACCTGGTGACTGAACCTGGCTGGAGAACCTGGACAGAACCTGGCTGGAGAACCTAGCAAGAGAACATGGACACAGAACCTGGCTGGAGATCCTAACCAGAACTTCGCTGGAGATCCTGAACAGAACTTGGCTGGAGATCCTGGCTAGAGATCCTGGCTAGGCTGCTGATCAACTGAATGCTGTCTCCATGCCATTCCTTCGTCGCCAACTCCGTCTACACCTTTGGGAACCCCTGGACCTGCTGGGGTTGGACCCCAGCATGGGAGCACCAAGAGGCTGCTACGATCCTCTGCGGCCACTCACCTGCCAGCCGGCTGCCCTGCCCACAGCCCTCCCACTCGCTGCTCTCATCTCCTCACAGGATCCACGCGCTCAGGGACGTGCACACGCGCATACCGCACCCCCTTCCATTCACGTATTTACAGTCTCCCTGGCAGACAGCTCCGCCGGGTGCAGACTTGTTTGTGTTTGCTTGCTGCTCTTTCCCAGGACTTGTAAGAGCGTCTGACACGTGGTGTCTGCTCCACAAATATGTGCTGAATGAATGAATTCCATAAAATTAAAGACACACACGCCGGGAGCACAGTTGCGAGGTGTCTCCATTAGCATACGTGATACTTCATTGAGTGTCTGTAAGTATCTCCTTACTCAACAGAGAGTGAGACTCACAAAACCCCGTGTGCTCCCAGGGGCTCCCCTCAGGACCCCATCACCCTGGGCAGCACTGCAGCACGTTCAGCAGCCTCCAGGAGGGTGGCCACGTGACCTGGCTCCGGCGATGAGCTGTGCCAGGCCTGCCGGCGGGTGCTCCAGGCCACCAGGCCGTCGCCCTAGAAGGAAGGGATGACTCTTCCCCGCACCTCCTGTCTGGGGTGCACTCCGCACCGCCTGTGGCAGGAGCCAGGCCCCGGGCCCTGGGAGGTCACCCACCCTGTCGCCCGGGCTGGTGGGCTCTGAGCTTCTCACACGGGAAACGGTCCCAGGCTTTGGGTCACATGCAACCCTCTGTGACCGCCTCACGGCACCTCTCCCCCAGCACACGTCCCACCTGCCGCCAGCAGCAGCCCTGCTCTTTCCAAGTAGGAGTCTGGAAAGTTCCCGACTGCACCCATGAAACATCGATGAAGGCACTGCCCTCACCGCCCTGCCCGGGCGTCCGCCTGTCTCCTCTAGTCCACACTGTGGACGGTGGCAACCGAAGAAGCAGTCCTCATGGAGAAAAGAGGGTTCCCGCTGAAGCCAGGCGGCCTGGCTGAGACTCCGGGCGAGGAGGCAGCTGGACTGGTAACGGCCCTCAGGACCGCAGAAAACTCCTACGTCCCCCACAGCCCAGGACACAGCTGTCCTTCGCCAGGCTGGCTGCTACTTCCGGTCTTACCCCTAGGCAACCAGCTACCCGCCACTTCCCAGCAGCCGAAGGAGACAGGCCGCAGAGGGGCCTCCTTCCTAGAAGCACTGGGACCCGCACGAAGGGCATCTAGCCCAGCCCCCAGTGTCTCGAAAGTTTGGGGAGAGTTTTTGGAAACCCGATGAAAACAATAGCAGCAAAAGCACAGACGCGCTTCCCAGGCAGCGAGGCTAACCCGCGCCCGGCTGCTGGGAGAGCAGGGCTGTGTCCTGAGGCACTGGAGCTGCACGCAGCGCGGCAGGTGCCTCAGGAATGCCAAGGGGCATGTGGGCACTCCCCCGCCGGAGCCGCCCCAGGAGGCTCGCCACGCCGAGCGCACGCGGGGTGCAGCCCCGACAAAGCCCACGTGCACGGGGCGAGGGTGGGAGGAGGCTCAGGCCCGGGAGGCGCAGGCAGTGGCCAAGTGCTCCGACGCCCCGAAGGCACGGGGATGGCATCGCGTTAGGGGCGTGGCCACCCACCCCAGGCCCCTTCTGCAGTTAGCACACCGCTCAGCCATCCGCAGGCCCATCCTGGGGCTGCCCACCCCTCGGGTCCTAAGGAGGCAGCAGCCACCGCCCATGATGGGCACCTCTCCACGCCGACAACGCAGCCCGCACAGCCGCCTTCCCTACACTCTGGGAATGTCACAGCCTCGATTCCTGTGAGCACAGCAGGGAACATCACTAAGGGCAGCATCGCTGGACTTGGAGAAATGGAGACACACTGTGCTCTCAACAGAAACGTCCTCTCCGTGGCGGCTCCGGCTGCAAAGCCCCAGGATGAAGCCTCAAGAAAGCGCAGGCCGCCACCTGGACGTGAAGCTGGAGGATGGAAAACGGGCCCGTGAACACCCGAGTGGTGTGAAGCCAGCGGCGGAGGCGCACCGGGGCCTCGTCTCCCCGCACCTGAGCAACAGCCCTGGCGCCACCGGCAACGGGAGGGCAGGTGAGGGCCTACCAGGCGAGCTCCAGGGTCACTGTCCAGCTCCGACCCACAGGGCCGTGTTGCTCCTGGAGCGGTGGGCCTGGAGAGCAGGATGGAGAGCAGGCACCGCTCCACCACCCAGTCAGCTCGGCACCTGTGTCTCCCAGCTGCTCACCGGCCCATTAATGAGGATGACGATGCCCTAGCCCAGTGGTGGGCTCCGTGTCATTCCTTCTTTACAGCGCAAACTTTACTTAAAGTTTTAAGTCTTAGTTAAAACCCATAGTTAGAACCACTTCTTCAAAATAGACTCGTCCAGGCCGAAAACCGACTTCTGCGCATGGGCCACGAAGTTTCAATCGCACTGTACGTGCGCGCCCACACGTGGTATTTTGTGGAAGAGCCACACTCAAGGGACCAAAGAGCTGCAGTTTGCCGACCACTGCCCTAGACAAGCGGTCGCCAACCGGTGGTCCGCAAGGTCCGGAAGGTTGGCGACCGCTGCCCTAGACAACAAGCAAAGAGCTGTGCAAATATGGAGCATGAAACATGAGGTCCAGTCTCCAAACCACTTCTGCCCGCGTCCAAGCTCTCAGCGTCCGGCCCGCGCCTCCCTCAGTGCACCCTGCGGTCATCTCTGGAAACGCTGCAGATCGGATCTGTCAGCTGGTGCTTCACCACTTCCGTGGCTCGCTCTCATAATTCCAATCGCCTGGCATGGTGTGCGCGGCCCAGTGCGCCCTGCCACACCCCCCGCGGCTGCACACCGCTCTGGGTGGCACAGGGACGGAGGGTTCCCAGGCCTCCCCACCCGTGCTGTCACAGTGAGCCCTGCCACACTGGCTGCCCTGCGGTGCCCTCTTGCTCCTGCTGCTGTGCGCTGTGCGGCCTTGTGTTGCCGCTACCACGGCAACCACAGGGGAAGCCAGACCCCAGGTGACAAGTCCAGGGGAGCCCGAGGAGCAGGAGACACAGTCCCCAGCGCAAAACGCTCCCACCACCTCCACGCTGGGCCTGGTCAGTGCCGCGCCCCCGGTCCCTCCAGGAGCTAAGCTGGTCTGAGGGGGAGGCCGCTGCGTGTGAGAGCGTGCCATGGGTGCGTGGCCTCTGTGCGCCGGCCTGCCTCTCCGCAGCACCCACATTTCCTGCTCAGGTTCATACCTCCATGACTTTAAGTGACGAGGAGGACAGGCGTCTCGAAAGGCTCAGGCTTAAAGTGAAGGGGAAGAAGCTGAATAGAACCCGCCGCAGGGAGCAGGTGAGCTGCCCAGTGGTGGATCCCAGCAGCGCATCCCGGGAGCTCCAGGCCCTACACTGTCCGCGGGGCACGTCCCAGGGGCATCACCCCCTCCCCCCCAGACCTGAACCCCGAGCTCCGAGTTACCGTCTCTCACCCTTCGGGGCCCTCCCTGCCTACAGACCTGGCTGAACCAAAGTCATCTGCTCCCCCGACACCAAGACAGCGCGGCCGCCTGCCGTGTGCGGGGGTGAGCTGTGTGCTGCCTGCCGTGTGCGGGGTGAGCTGTGTGCCGCCTGCCGTGTGCGGGGTGAGCTGTGTGCCGCCTGCCGTGTGCGGGGTGAGCTGTGCGCCACCTGCCATATGCGGGGTGAGCTGTGTGCCGCCTGCCGTGTGCGGGGTGAGCTGTGCGGCCGCCTGCCGTGTGCGGGGTGAGCTGTGAGCTGTGCGGCCACCTGCCGTGTGCGGGGTGAGCTGTAGGGTGAAAGTGGCCTCCGCCTGCCTGTGCCTGTGCAGAGTCCAAGGGCATCGCCCCGAGGTCACCACCTGCGGGGAACCCCCGCGGCCGGCTCACTCACCAGCTGGAACTCGCTCCTGCGGCGGAAGGCCTCCCGGATGCCCGAGTCCCCCCAGAGGGCGCTCAGGGCGGGCACGTAGAGCTGGAAGGTGGCGGGCTCCACGGGCAGCCCCGCCTTGTTCTCGAAGGCCATGAGGAACATGCCGTGCTTCTCGTTCTCCGAGTGCTGCCACGGGATGCCCAGCTTGTCCCGCGCGTCCACGAGGACCTTGGAGCCCTGGGGGCAGAGGAAAGGGTGAGTGAGCTGCAGAGGCCGGACCACGCGGAGCTGCCGGCAGCGACTGCGACAGCAGGACACCCCGCTGTCCGCCGTGCCACCCTCACGGCCCTCGGCTGTCGGGTCAGGCGCGGATGCGTACTCCTGGGACACGACTGCGCCATGCGGTTACGCACCAGGCGGCAGCGTGCCCTTTGCTGCCCTCACCGGGGAGGTCCTGGGAGCACACGCCTGGGGGGAGACCTGGCCACCCCGAGCACAGCCAGCACTGAACGGGCCACGGCAGGAGGCGGCAGTGGGGGAACCACTCCAGCACCACCAAACCCAGACCCACCGAACCCGCCTCAGCGGACGAGACGCCGTACCACACCCCGTTCCCACCGTCCAGCTCCCGGTGTGTAGCTGGCGGTTTCCCGACAAAGCTCCCCTCCTCCACGGGCAGAAGGGGCAGTGACGCCTCCGTGTGGCCCGCCCGAACTGCTGGGTGGATGGGGGTGGGGACCGAGCCTCTCCCAGGCTGCGGGCCTGCCCGGCTGCTCAGTGCGGAGGGGAGGGGGGCGGGGGGGCGCTCCTCTGCCAGGCGACGTGCCCTCCCCACGCACCAGAGGGAGGGCGGGCTGGGACCCTCACCGAAGCAGCGCGTCAGGCCCGTCGAGAGCCAACAGAACAGAGAGGTGCTCAGCTCTCCTTCCTCTGCCCACACCCCTGGGGCCTTTCATCTCCCCGCTTTCTCTGACGACATCTCAACAGACCCCCCTGCCCAGAACCGAGAGGGATGCCTGCTGTGGCCACGCCTGCACAGCCAGGTGCACGCAGCGGGCAGGGCGCTCCACCTTGGGCCCTCGGAGAAGGGCAGCTGCTCAGGACCTCGGCGCCCCGCCCCCTGCCCTGCCACGCGACGCCCTGCCCCACAGCTCACAGCACGCGGCCAGACCACGAGGCGCCTCCACACGCAGAGGGTTAGCCTCCCAGCGCGCCCAGCCTCAGTCACACGTGACCCGGAACCGCTACTCCCAGGGCCGCTCGGTTCACGTCGGGGATGAAGGTGGGAGCCACAGCGACGCGGAAGGCGGGGCCCTTCTGCACGCTGCCCCACCCTGAATGCCCTTCCTTTCTCAGTCTCATCTGGAGGGGGAGGCATCAAGGAAAAGACATCTCCCCTTTGTCCTTTTAGATTATCTGCGCGGAGCCCGAGCATCCACACTGCCCCGGTGTTTCCTGCGGGCGTCTGCTCACACTGCGCCCGCACTCCCGGGTCAGCGAGAGCCTGGCCCCTGGGGTGTCTCACGCACTGGCCGCGTGCGGAGCGGACAGTCCTACCGTCGCCATCACTGCATAGAGCGCCACCATGTGCGGAGACCACAGCAGGCACGACAGAAAGACACCTGCCCCGACATCTTCCAGCAGAAGACCCATTTCCCACATGAAAGCCCCGAGTTCCCCCAGCCACACACTCACAGGACAGAGATGAAGGCGGAGACACCGACCGAGGCCCTGCCACCAGCTCCGAGGCGAGGGCAGTATTAGTGCTGAGTGTGGTTCCCATAACTGCGTGGCACCCAGTCGCCCAAACACACCCAGTGCAGCCTAAGCGGCTGACCTCGCCTTGCTGCCATGTAACACTGACCTGCTCAGAGAACACATTTCTAAGACAATCTGTAAATCCAGGATTTAAACTCCAAAGAACTGATTCCCTGTCTGCTGGGGATGTAGATGTGGGGGGTTTTTTGGTTTTACCGGACGAACACCAAAAACGGCAAACCCTGCTATCTCATCCCCAAACACGTTTTGTGATTTTCACTCCTAATCAAACCACCTTCTCAGACCAGCCGTTCCTCACTAGGCTCCCTCGGAAAGCGTTGCGGCGGACATGTGGCGTGCGGCGGACATGAGGCGTGCGGCGGACATGTGGCGTGCGGCGGACATGTGGCGTGCGGCGGACATGTGGCGTGCGGCGGACATGAGGCGTGCGGCGGACATGAGGCGTGCGGCGGACATGTGGCGTGCGGCGGACATGTGGCGTGCGGCGGACATGAGGCGTGCGGCGGACATGTGGCGTGCGGCGGACATGTGGCGTGCGGCGGACATGAGGCGTGCGGCGGACATGTGGCGTGCGGCGGACATGTGGCGTGCGGCGGACATGTGGCGTGCGGCGGACATGTGGCGTGCGGCGGACATGTGGCGTGCGGCGGACATGAGGCGTGCGGCGGACATGTGGCGTGCGGCGGACATGTGGCGTGCGGCGGACATGTGGCGTGCGGCGGACATGTGGCGTGCGGCGGACATGTGGCGTGCGGCGGACATGAGGCGTGCGGCGGACATGTGGCGTGCGGCGGACATGTGGCGTGCGGCGGACATGTGGCGTGCGGCGGACATGAGGCGTGCGGCGGACATGTGGCGTGCGGCGGACATGTGCGGACATGTGGCGTGCGGCGGACATGTGGCGTGCGGCGGACATGTGGCGTGCGGCGGACATGTGGCGTGCGGCGGACATGAGGCGTGCGGCGGACATGTGGCGTGCGGCGGACATGTGGCGTGCGGCGGACATGAGGCGTGCGGGCGCCTGACGCCTTTCCTAGAGCCTGAAGGGAAACCAGGAAGGGTCTGCGGTGTGTTCACCGCCGACAGCAGCGCCTGCGCTTGGAGAGCGGGTTTTGCTTGAGACCCGAGGCTGGTTGCGGGCCTCTGGCCACCGCCCAGATGGAGACGTGCGCCAGGGGTGTAAACAGGACGGTCCTGGGAGCCGGGAGCCAGCAAGGCGGCGGCGCCTCTTCAGTGTCTGAACCCGCGGGAGGCACCTTCCAATGTAGAGGCTGCATGAAACGCGATAAAGGAGAGCAGCCTGCGGGCAAAGGGTCCCCAGAGCTCGATGGCAGGGCTGCTGGCCTCCTCGTGCAGCCCCCGCCCCCCATTCCTCTCGGGAACAGCGCCTCGTTCTGATGGGCCGGCTGCTCCTCACCAGTCCCTCCTCTGGGAGCCGCCCACCTGCTCGGCCAGCTTCCCAGGCGCCCAGCAGCGGAGCGGAGCCCCTTCCTGGGAACGGCCGCTTCACCCCTCAGGAGTGGGCCTGGGCACGTCACGGGAAACAAAGGCTCGGAGGTCACGGACACGCCGTCTCCCACAGGCCTTTCGGTTCTGACCACGGCGTCCAGTGGGCAGATGCAGGGCCCCCAAAGGCTGTTTGAGATGCTCCAGCCACACGGCACCGCCCACAGCTGCGCCCGCTCGGAACAGGCCTGCCCAGAGCCCAGCAGCCACGGGCTCACGCCCCCTCGGGACACGTGGGGGGCAGTGCTGTGCCCACTTCACAGAGAAGACGCACGCAGCTCAGGATCAGGGAGGCCAATGCGAGTGCTTGTTTTAACCCATATTCTTCCTGCACCTCGACGGGTGTGTCGGGGAGACGGGCAGGGGCAGGAGGGTGGCACGGACTTCAGAAGCAGATCTGCACTGACCTGGGCGGACCCGGCATTTCTGGTTCTCTCTAGAATGCTTGTTAAAAAGTTAACTAGACCTAGAAGCAGGGACATGCTGAGCGCCTGGCGAACTCAGAGGAGATGCGATGAGTTCAGACCCGACTTCACAAACAGGAAACGCCTTCACTCACACACCTGTCACAGCAGCGTGGTCGAGACCCCCGCCACCGGGCTGTGGGCAGCGGGACGCGGCCAGTCCGAACTGAGATGTGTTATAACACTCACTGCATTCAAAGACTTCGCATGAAAAATAAATGGAAATACTTTAAAATTTTTAATACTGACTGTGTTATAACAAAACTATAATATTTTGGATATTTTGCATTATTAAAATACATCATTTTACTTATTTCTTTTACCTCTCTCAATGTGGGCAATTTAAAATGTGTTTTTTTAATTGATTTGAGAGAGAGAGAAGAAGGGAGAGGGATAGAGAGATAGAAAGAAACATCAATGAGACACAAACATCAATCGGCTGCCTCCTGCACACTCCCTACTGGGGATCGAACCAATAACCTCTTGGTTCCTGGGTTAACGCTCAGCCACTGAGCCACACCAGCCGGGCTGACTGTGGACACCGTGTGTGTGAGGTTCACCTTACGTTTCTGCTGGACCGCGTTGCTGTACGGGAACATTTCTTAAAATGAAGTTTGTTTCTTTCCGATTACAAAAATGTCATTTTTTACTGTAGAAAATAGAGGAAACAACTCCACAGAGAAGCGAACTATCACTATCTGGAAATAACTTTCGTTAACATCTTAGAACGCCCGTCTCGTTCCTTCGGTGACAGTCACGCAGTCTCCCTCCGTCAGGTTCCGGTGGACGGCACAGAGGCCTGCCGCTCAGGCCCCGCACGGTCTTCACGATGTTCCCGACGAAGCCGGTGCCGCACCATGTCGTGTGACTGCTCTGTACCTACCCGCCTGCACTGCTCACTCCCTTCCCCTTCTCTCCTGGCCCCACCCCCGCCGACATTGTCAGCCTGCTTTCTGTTCTCAAAAATGTCTCTACCTAGAGATAACGTCTGAGATCTGAGAATGTCCTGGGTCTCGCTCCTGATGGAAATCTCTCTGTGTGACATTAACATTCCGCGTGGCTCAGGCTCTGGTCGGCCACCATCACGTCCCACCTGGATTCCTGCAACCTTCTCGCTGGTCTCCTCACGTCTGCTCTTGCCCCCTTCGGTCATTCTCAAACCAGCCACCATCACATTCCTCTGCAAACCCCACCTGACTCCCTCTCATGAGGGTAGGAGCTCCGGTCCCCACAGAGGCTCGCTGCGCCCAGCCGTTGCCTCTGCCCCCATGTCCAGCCTGCTGCCCCCGCCCCCGCGTCCAGCCTGCTGCCCCCGCCCCCGCGCCCAGCCTGCTGCCCCCGCCCCCGCACCCAGCCTGCTGCCCCTGACCCCGCGCCCAGCCTGCTGCCCCTGACCCCGCGCCCAGCCTGCTGCCCCTGACCCTGTGCCCAGCCTGCTGCCCCTGACCCCGTGCCCAGCCTGCTGCCCCTGACCCCGAGCCCAGCCTG